CATCTCGATGCACACAGCACGGTGTCTGAACTTGAAGTACGCTCGATGACGTCACTTCGGAACGCTACCGGGACATCCGTGCTTCATATGTTGCGTAACAGACCAATCACCGAATTCGTTGCCGTGCAGCCGTGCTTCGTACGAAGCACGGATAAAGGCCCACTAACGTAGTAGCGTTTTACTACGTCGTGGGAACTTACGTCCAGTTATATAACTGCGAGCCCGGGACGTCCCTGCTGCTTAGTATGAATTTATGTTCATACTTTTCATACTTTCATACATAGAATTTAAGGAACAGCCTTGCGCGCGATAAACCATGCACGCATGTGCCGGGAACTCGCTATCGTAACTTGTCGTAGCGCAGTCAGGCCCAAATGTAGGGATACGAATTTACTCGCAGTAGCGTGCTACGTCGTCTCGGGTCAGGTCACTTATGGGTACAAACTTGGCTCCTTCATTCACCATTCCTGAATTTGTTGGGTCGAACGTTTCAAACGGAAAGATGAGAGCGTATTATTCAAACTTGAATAATACGCTCTCGTCATTGCGCGAGCCTCATAGCAAAAAAAAAAAAAAAACGCACGCAACACCCGGCAACCGGAAATGGATATAGCAACAGGAATTGCCATATTGTTTGTTGTTGTTTACCTTGTAAATGGGTGTATAGGTAGCTTCAGGAGTTGACACGACGCCACCAGAGGTGAAGCCGGAAGCGTGGAGGGACACAGAAGCGGACTTAGCAGTTTGCCTCACTAGGCAGCATTGAACCGCGACGCCCCCCTCCCCCCACCCCCGCTCCCCATGGTCATTGACCATGGGGAGCGGGGATGAGGGGAAATAGCTAAGTTTGGAGTTCAAAGTTTCAAAAGTAGCTAGATGTGAAACCAGAATTCCGAAAGTCACTAAATTCGAAGCCATTTTGAAAAAAAGAGAGAGAGAGAGAGCCAGTCTTGTTGGCGGCCCACAATTTGGTCGCCCCCGAAATTCTGCCACCCTAGGCAGCTGCATACTTTGTTTATAGGTACGTCCGCCCCTGGACTCGCCGCCAACGATGGCCAAAACCAAAAGGCGCTATTGGACGAAAAGGAAAGCGCTCTCCTTTACGTCCAACAGCATCTCTTGGTTTTGGTCATCGTTGGGGTCGAGTCCCTCCACGCTTCTGGCCTCACCTCTGGTGGCGTCATGTCGCCTCCAGAAGCTTCCTACCTCTATGAACCCAACAGACGAAGAACTCGGCTAAGATTGGCTGGGCACTTGGCGGGCCCATCCGAACTAGTTTTCGGCAGGCCCTCACCGGAACTTCCCCGGAACCCCCGTTACAAAGGGGTCGCCATTAAATACAATACAACCAAATTGACTAACAGACGATCTACGCATGCCAGCGGCAATCCGGCGGCGCCCAGAGACACACGAAACCAACTTCGTAGCTTCACTATTTTTTTTTTTTTTTTTTTTTTGCTGCGTATTTAGTGTGTTTAGGGTGAACTAAATGCAAACGCTCTATACTTGGGTCTTCACTTTTAGCTCGGGGGCCGGAGTAAGGATTTGTCACAATCTCGAGGGCCGGAAAATAAATGAATGTAGCTATAAATGCGGGGGAACCACTAAACAAGTATACCTATAGTAGTTTTCACCTTAAGAAAAAAAGGAAGCTTTCTGCATTGCTCCTACGCCGCGTGGAGTACTTCCTACAAGATTTGGTCTTCAGAGGAAGAAGCGATGCTTTTGGCGTTTGAAACATGTACGTCTTGATAAGATAACATATGCTGGATCTCATCTAAAATGCCCCTACATATACCTGAATTTTACGCATAAAGGTGGAAATAGTAGCCAGGAACCGGACCACTTTTACTACGGTTCTTGAGGTGAACACGAATATATTTATAGACGCTTTTAGGTAGCTCAGCACGTGCGCCGCCCTAACCAACCTTAGTGGCGTACCCTGGGGGGGGGAAGGGTGCTTAGGGGGCGGGAGCCTCGTAAGCCCCCCCCCCGGCCTACACCACTGCCTGCGCGGGCCGGGGTTTGAAGACCCCTGCTCTAGAGGAACGATTTATCTAGCTCTGTATTGTTGCTAACCTGGGATTCTGGACGTGCATTGCGCTCTATGATTACTCGAAGGCACACTTGTTCGATGCGCATCAATATTGAAAGGCATTGAACACAAGAGGCCCGATTCACGAAAACCTTTTTACGCCTCGATTACTTCACTATGAAGTTGGTAAGTTATGCACACCGTAAGCTAAGCAAAACTGATCACCATTTTGTTTTGTGAATAAAATTTTGTCTTAAGTCGTTTTCTTTTCCCGTGTTTTTCCTCTTCTTCCTTTTGTTGTTTAAAGGGGTACTCGGGCTGTTTTTTTTTTAGCTACCCAAACAAATTACATTTCCTGATTACCCGGACTTTAGTCTTCGCAGTATGCTATTTGTCGTCTCGAAATTCAAAATAGCTTTTGAGAAAACCGTAAATCAAGATGAAGCTGAAACAAACATTTAAATTTCCGCACGCTCTCCACTGGTGTGACGTCACAAATGCTACACACTTTGAGGTCGCGCAGGTAGTCTCAAAAAAATTATGAAGAAAGTATGTCGAGGTTTTTTTCCTGCTTCTGAGTGAATCAGCTTCCAAACATTCTTTTCTCGCCACCAAACGTCTTGTAATCAATCAAGAACGTGGTTTACTTTCCACTTTGTGCCATTTCCGTCGTCACACTTCAGTGTTGCCTGTAGGGGCTCTAGGTTTGAGAAACACAATGAGAACGAAATTCAAAATTCAATAACTTCGCGAATTTTTTAAAATTTTATTTTCACACAATACTTGGGGGACTGGTACAGCCGTGTCTATCGGTGTTTTGAGACAATTTTGAGAAAACTCGGCGAACTGAACCCTGCAGCGCGAGCTTTCGCAAAAAAAGCTGGTACAGTGGAAAATTTTCGAAGATGAGGACGTAAGCCAATTGATGCAGTTTAATCATTACCAAGAAAATAGAGAGGCTGACAACAACACCAAACACAAGATAACACGCAGAACTGGGCGTTTCTCAAAATGTCACCACATCCAGTGTGATTTTCAGTCACCATAATTGTGTTTTCAATCTAATGAGGGTAACAGATTTTGCAGACTTCTCCAGAATGTAAGTAGTAAAATTGTTATCATGATATACAAATAACTTTATGTAGAAATGCTAACTTTTCATTTTGCTTTTTTATAATTTATTTTGTTACGGACACATTGATTAATCAGCTTTCACACGTGATTTTATCGAAAATTCAACCTGAACATCAAATTCTAAGATGTAAAACTGAAAACAAACTAACAATTCAAATTTCACTTGAAAACCATAGAGATGGTTTTATTAGGGAATTGAGATGGCCAAAGTGAATTTTTTACATTATGACTTCTTTACAAAAGAGATTCTGTAGAAAAATATTGATTTTAAATAATTTGGTACGAAAGTGAACAATACGGAATAATATCTGTAATCATAGTTTTACGAAATGTTTACGCGTGGGCGAAACAAATTAAGCGAACTATATGTAAAATTATGAGCTCAAACAATTAAGTCGATGTTCAAAAGCCGCTCGGAAATTATAATATTACAAGTTAAAAAGTGCAGCCAAGTGAAAAAGCATTATTCTAAAAAGCGTTTATATATATATACATATATATACACTTAGCCACTGAGACTGAATCACTATAGGAGCGCAATTTAAAGGAAAATAAGTGAAAAGGTGGAGTGCATCGTAGGACATCGTCTATGCGAGTCTTTTCGAATGCGTGCAATGTGTGCAAGCTACGCATTTTTATTGTTGAACTTTTTTTCACAAAACCAGCTGCGTAGAAGTCAAATATTTTTAATGCTTTGAGTTGCCAGCAAAATCAGTAATGAGAAAACGCCGCTTTAACATCTTATCGGCACCGTAGCAATGGTTATAGAAACATTTTCGTTCAAAGCTTAGTGTCACTTTCATCACCATTCATTTTTTTCCCTAAATAATCTAGTCACGTATTTATAACGTAACGAAAGTGCACACACAGAGAACCGTCATGACGAGCTCTCTTTCGGCGGCCGAAACCGGCCGTAGCTGCCACCACAAACAGGTCCGCTCATCGCCTTTTCCCGACCGAGACGTAGGTTTACCGCTTCATTCATCGACGTCTATTAGTACTAATGCGCCCCTCAGTTCAAACAAAGAACATAAGGTCCCAACCTGTGGCACCTAATCAACCGCAACACAATCGCTACAGAGCTAACCCGCAAACACGCTGGACCCGAGCAACGCCACCCGACAAGTATACATACAAGCCCACTCTGGAAGCACACGCACATTGTTCGCGGACGTGCGAGTTAGGACCGGGGTATATTCCAGGCACGTCTTGAGGAGACCGCCGCTCCACTGGCTAGGGACGGAGGCAGCAGTGAGCAGCGGCAGAGAGTCATCATCCACCAGCGTGCGTCGGAAAGGACTGGCACAATTAACAAGTTTGCGCAACGGCCCCGCTGCACGCACATACCTGGCCGCGAAGCACCTCTCTGCGGATCGGCCGGACGGACCTCCGGATGGGAGAGCCTATCGAGAGCAAAAGCGGCGCCGGTGAAAGGGACGACGAGCGGAAGGCGTGCACGGGGCAGCCATTTGCATTGGTCCTCGCGGGCGAAAGCAGCCTTGAAGGCATCGATGACCAGCGCGCGTATTTGATGAACGAGCTCGAAGCGCCTCGCCAGAGCCACCGACGGCCGGCCGACTCGCCCTTGCCGCTTGGTCCCGTTACGCGGAAGCGTCGAGGGATGCCGGGGGGGAGAGAGTGGTGCGTGCCGTCCGAGAATGACGGAAGGGGAAGAAAGAGTAGAAAAAGGAGAAAGAACGATCACTACGTCTGCATCGTCCCCGCCTTGCATCCGACCAGGAGGAGACTGCATCTCGCCGGCCGGGGTATATAAGCCCGGAGGTTCCCAGTCCTGGACATAAGCGAGCTGACCACCGCAGCAGCCGCAACCATGTGGAAGGTAAGCGAGCGCTTCTCCGTCCACCGTGGTACACAGCCCGGCTGCAGGAGTACGGTCCCCCTCCCTGCTGGTTGGATGTTCGACTTAGGGCACCGGAGCTAAGGACTATAACACCTTCGTAGTCGTCTTCGTGAGACCAAGGGTCCGCCATGTTGAGGAACACGGATTCGCGCCTTGCGTCAGAGGACCTACCAGGACCGAGTAGTCGATGATAAAAAAGCGCGTCATCAACACTGCGTCAATTCTAAGCCTTCCCCGATTCAGCTTCCAAGCCATATCCCAGCTAAAGGGATAACTTTATCATGCTTAATTTAAGAAACTTGCCGTCTTCACAGCGTTTTAGAAGGAGAATTGTTAACCACAGCTCCTTACAGGCTCACACGCGCTCTCCAGTTGTTCCAGTGTCTTCAGTAATAGGCGCATAACTGCATGGTCGAGTGAGATACATGTCGTAACAAATATTTATTCCATAAGCATTTTGATTCGGTTATCATTGATGTCTCTGAGGCTTGTTCCACCTACCAGACGACCGAAGCGTACGTCGATGACGAGTAACCGAAGTTCCAGTGAAAGCTCGCGGGACTGTCGTTAAAAAGTGATCGATGTCAAAAAAATAGTGAAAAGTATCTGCATTGTCGACAAGAATGCCCCCCCCCCCCCCCTTCCCAATGATTCGTTCCAGCCCCAATGATCTGTTACGGGACAAGGACTAACCCGATGCCTTTTTCGCGCAGTCGCAATCGATAATCTCTTAAACAAATGACCCGCCACTCGTGCCTCGTTGAATAATGCCGCGCGTCTAGTCCGAGACAATAGCCGGGCACGAGTGATGAAAACCCGGCCGTTTCCCACGGATGCCTCAGCCTTCCGCGTTGTGCGGTCCCCTTTACAGTTAACGATCTCGACCCTCTGCTTTGCCGCTCTGGTTAACGCCGGCAACCTTCGCGGTGGCGGTGGCTTCGGAGGCGGAGGCTTCGGAGGCGGAGGATTCGGCGGAGGTGGCCACCATGGCGGTGGCGGATTCGGCGGAGGAGGCCTCGGAGGTGGACACCACGGTGGCGGCGGATTTGGTGGAGGTGGTCTCGGAGGTGGTGGACTCGGAGGTGGTGGACTCGGAGGCGGATTCGGTGGTCACCATGGCGGTGGCTTGGGAGGCGGCCTCGGCGGCGGCTTCGGTGGCGGTCACCATGGTGGCGGCGGATTCGGAGGTGGCGGACGAGGTGGTTACGGAGGTGGCTTCTCCAGTGGCCTCGGCGGTGGCTACCGCGGCGGAGGTGGCGGCTACGGAGGCGGAGGATACGGGGTAAGACCTAAGGTTCTATTTTCTCTTTCTCATCTGCAGTGTGTGGTCAAGTGTTGCGTAAAACCATTTTATTTTATTTACACTTACATTACCATCGCCAATTCGTGATTACGTCTGTGCACGAGAAAAAGAAAACATCATAATATCACGGCCGTGTGGTCTCGAAATTTATGTGATGCAAACCTTCTTATTGAAATTATAAACAAAATAGGCTGGATCGTCAACATTTACATGCACAATGTAAGCTCATGCACTTTACTCGTCCACATAGTCTAAAGGAATAACTGAATTATTTGCACCCTTCATCAAGAACGGTGTTTCGTGCGAGCGTGTTCAATCTCGTCAGGCTTAATAAATCACGGACGTCTGAAGAAAAGCAGGGAGTGTCTTCTTTGATTCCCGCTTTGTGATTGGATCTTCGGCATTCTTGTTGGCTAATGTTGAAATCTCATTGGCTGCGAATCAATAATGCGATGCACGGGGCTCGCCACGCACCGCGCTTCTGAAGATGTCAGGCTGTAGTTGATCCCAACTGCGTCAACCCCCAAGTCACGGACACCAAACCCGGAGCACGCGTAACAATATCGTTCTTCCGCTTCCCATCGCAGGGCGGCAGGTACGTGGACGAGTCGCCGAAGCCCTACCAGTTCGGCTACGACGCACAAGGTCCCGACGGCTCCAGCTCTCGCCAAGAGACCTCCGACGGAAGCGGCAGGGTTCAGGGGAGCTACACCATCACCACCGCCGACGGACTTCAGAGGAAAGTGAAGTACGCCGCCGACGAAGGCGGCTTCCGCGCGCGTGTCGACACCAACGAACCAGGCACCACCAACGACAGTCCCGCTGACGTGACCCTCCAGTCGTCGGCACCATCGCCCGCCGAGCTGTCCGCTCAGTACACGGCTTCCAGGGGCTACGGCCGTGGAGGCGGCGGCTACGGGGGCGGCGGCTACGGAGGCGCCGGCGCCGGCTACGGAGGCGGCAGGTTCGGAGGCGGATACGGAGGTGGTCACCACGGTGGATACGGAGGTGGAGGCTACGGTGGTGGACGCGGTGGATTTGGAGGAGGACTCGGTGGTGGAGCCGGTGGTCTCGGTGGCCTCGGAGGCGGACACGGAGGCTTCGGAGGCGGAGCCGGTGGATTCGGGAGAGGAGGCGGAGGCGGAGGCTTCGGCGGACCGGCAGGCGGAGGTGTCACCGTGAGCGCCTTCAAGGTCCACCACGGCGGAGGAGGTGCCGGAGGATACGGCGGCTTGGGAGGTGGCGGGGGTTACCGCGGAGGTGGAGGAGGCGGCTACGGAGGTGCCGGAGGTTTCGGGGGCTCTGGAGGCTACGGTGGATCCGGGGGCTTCGGTGGTGCCGGGGGCTACGGAGGTGCCGGAGGTTTTGGCGGTGGAAAGTATGGCGGTGGCGCTGGAGGTGCCGGCGGCGGCGGTGGCTGGAAGTGGTGATAAGGGTGCAGAGTTTGTGAGACTTTCAGATGTGTGAATGCGAAACTCTTTCGTCTTCCTGCGGTTCTGTTTGTTTGTTTTGTTTTGTCTGCGTGTTATAGGTCGTTTGTCCCATAGATGTCTGTGATGTGTTGTACGTATACGGCTTGGGTCTGTTCAATCTTGTCACGGGGCGCTCTGGTTGACAGCGAGCGATGTGCATAAAACAAAAGTGTCCGGGTGTGGCAGCTTCTTGGTTTCCTGAATAAACAAGCGTGCGCATGTGAAACCTCTTGTCTAAGACACTTCTTTCTTTTTCTTTTTTTCTTACGCTTCATTACCGATACTTTATAGGACGCTGGACAACGCGCGGAAGACGGTTTGGAGATGCTTTCTCATTATACTTCAATTCAGTATTTATTCTGGGTCAATTAATTTCGGTTAAACCAATTCTTGGTGAGGGATGGCGAAAGCATTCGTGTAAGACATAAGAATGCGGTTATAACCACAAAATCATGTTTGAGTTTCAATTTTTCGCCTAGCCCTCCAAGAAAAAAGAAAAGTTGATAATGTAGATAAATGATATTTAAGTTCGACTGACGGTGACTATAAGAGATCCTCAAGAAACCAAAGCATTTCATTTTTACGTACCCAACTCCCTTAATAAAGAATTGGCAGATCTTAGAAGCGCTAAGCCTTTATACAAATATAGCCCTTCTTAAATTTGTTTTCTGTATCGACATGCCCGCTATGTTTCAGAATAGTTTGTAATCGTAAACGCAAGAAGTTCACTGCAATTCTAACAGTCTTAGCAAAGCTTATAAATTGTTCGTTTCAAATCAGCCATTACAAAAGGGTGCTAAACATTTCTTAAATAAATAGAAAATTGCATTAAGCTCGCCAACATTAATTGTTTTTATCGCCTCCTTGAGATACTTGCTTGATGCTCCAGATCTCAATATTTCGAATCTATTTTCTTGCATTTCGTTAACTCAATTGTCGCAGCTTCAGAATTATTCAAAAAGGTTCTTTGAGACGAACACTAAAACGCACGAAGCACTAAAATTTTAAAAATAAAGTGCGCATGAGGCTTTCTTGCACGCCATTTCGTAAGTCATCCTGAGAGTTTTGACACGACCTGCTAACTACACATGAGCAAGAGAGGCGCCTGCTGAATCGCGAAAGCTTAAAAATTCCAGCAAGTATATCAGCTCCATGCAGGAAAACGGGGAACACCTTCTTCAATATTTGGGGTGTCTCTCCTCGTCGTATACTGATGATATATTTCTGCACCAAACTGTCGGACATTACGACCGGGAAGGTGTATATACACTTGGTTCGGGGAGTTTAAAAACGCATGCAGTTGGCGAAGCGAGATAGAAACTCAAACAGGATTCCATTTTACTGGCCTGCGAAGTTTTCTAGTACCTTTATGGCTTCGCTCAAGTAACTGCACGATGAAGAAGAAAAAAATGCCTATGTTTGTTTATGGGTACAGTACATCTACCAGCCTTCTGAAGCGCTTGCTACGTGTCTCAGGTGTTGACAACTGTTCTTTTTTTGCTGTCTTACCCATACGCCTGAGGTAACTGAACATATACTTACAAGAAACCCCCAGATTGAGGCGAGGGTAAAGCACAAACATGAAGTCTCAAGCACGGTTGATAATTTATTCGACAAGAGACTTCTTAAATAGTATCAGAACAGACAAGGCAGGGAAGGAACGCAAAAGAAACGGAAAGACTACAAACACCCTCTCTCCAGAAATATGGTCTGTTGTCGAATAAACCTCAGCCGTGTCTGAAACCAAGGTTAAATTGCAATTAACTACAATTGCAATCATTCTTCTATAAAAGTAAGTGGCCGTTACTCCAAGAAGTAATCCGTTACTTTCGTGGCATTACTTCCGACATTACTGTCCTCGAGTAAGAAACAAAGGGAAGAGGGTTTTTTGAGTGCCTATAGTTGCCATCAGTCCCGATTATTGACTTTGAGCATTTTAAGCAACAGCTGGATCTCGAAAGCCTCCTCGGACATCTCGCCTCATTTCTTGATAAAGATGTCGACTGCTTCGCTGGACACCCTTTCTACTGAGGCACTGGACGGGAGTGCCATATTGTGCCTCACGAATGCTCGATGCACTGCACTATGCTTCTCCAGCGGAGCGATGGAAGTGCTCTTTACCCCGAAGAAAGAGCAAAGCTTCGACGTTGCACCCGGGGCCTGATACTGTCGGAATCGCGAAGCTGTAGAAGTCGGCATACGACTGGCCAACATTTATGTAGATCTATCTATATTGGCAAATATTGCCAGACGGTAGCAAACGAGGTCACTAAGACAAGGTAGTTACACGTGGCAATTGAATAATAGGTGTCGTTTCTATTTATATTCTTCTTCTTTTGGCTCTGAACAGGTCAAACCGCGGTTGAGACGCTGGTGAATAAAAAAAATTATACTTTTTCAATATAAATATAAGTAATAAAAAGTAAAAAAACATCAGGACATTGAACAACAAAATAAAAATTACGTACAATATTGGTTAAAACAAGCTTATTTGCCACGTTTGCCATACGTACCCTTCATGATGCCGTTAAAAAACGTTGAAAAAAGGGGCCAGCAGTAGTGTGTATGCATTGTACAGTGTTCTTGAGATAGACGTTCGTTGAGGCTACCGATAGCGAAGCGTAGAGAAATAAGCCCCACTTGCGAGTTCAACTCCCTCCTCGAGCCCGGAATCTCTAGTCTATACGTCAACTACATTTTTATTATTAGTAGTAGTAATAGCAATAAAAACATCTACACCTAAAATCAAATCTGCCATGCTAAAAAAGAAAACATTATTATTTCCGAGGTGCTTGCAAAAAACTAACGCACAAAAGGGTGACTGAGACGCAGATAACCTGGCTAGAATTCACAAATAAAGTGGGCCAGCCTTTGCGGAGCGGAAGTTCGTCTGCTACTTGCATAGGGGCTGCGATGATGCCAGAACGCCGAGCTCTTATTGGCGGATTAAAAAAATAGTGGGTAAACCAGAAGGCATCTAGCATTCAGGTGTACCCACTATCCTTTCAATAAAAGCCAATCAGGGCTCGGCGTCGTTCTGACGTCACCGCAACCCAAGCGCAAGAAGCAGACGACTTGCCCTCCGCATTACTATGATCATACTTCGTGCTTCGTGATTGGTTCTTCGGTGTTCTTATCTGCTCATGCCTCAATGTGATTGGCTGCCGAGCGATTAAAAAAAGATGCCACACCCTGGATTTCTTAATTGTTTTCAGTGACTATATGTCAGCATTTTGTCTGGGAGACCCTCCTGGACAATCAAGGTTTAAGTTTTGAATGATAATGGTCTCAATTTCAGTTAACCATTGCCCACATATTCTCCATTCCCGCAGCAGAACTCTGGGAAAACGGAATCACCGCAATCTACGGAGAAAGTTTGGCAAATAACCCGACGCTGGAAAACCACCACCTAATAATGAAATGCAAAGCAGCAATCGCCTGTTGGTAGGATAAACCCGTGTAAAACAATGGCGGATACTGAGCGAACCTGCGGGGGCCGTGGCGGAAAATGTTTGCGCCGGGCCCATCGAGGGATTCCTCCCTGCTCTTCGTAGAACATACCGAGACGATGCGTGTGGCCGCCGATTGCGTGGCAATTCCTCAAGGGCAGTGTAATAACTCCGTCCCGAGCACAATGGGACTCAAACGCCGACGCGGTCGTAATTCAAGTCGCCCAAGCGTCCCCGCAGCGGAAACATTCAGCCTGCAATTGAGGTGGCACCCTTCATAAATGCCGCTTGCGTACGATTTCGCCCGGTATACTTTTATTGCTTTCGCATATATGGTTTTGATTCGTTCTGTTCTCATTCGATGTCGGCGGGTCATATGTTTATGTAAAAACCTATATGATGTTTTTTTTTTTAAGCTTAACAGAATTTTTTTTTTTAAAGCATGAAAGCTAAAATAATGCGGTCTGCGCAGGTGAGTTATACGGCCAGGGGGACATATTATAGGAGGCTAATCGTAACGATCAGTCGGCTAGTTAGTTAAAATTCGCTAATTAACTTTTTAATTAATGAAAATAGACATATAGTTCCAATTAGAAACTTGCTCAGTGTCATCGAAAACCACTAAATCAGTAATTTTCAGAAAGATTTTGAGCGTACGAAGCTAGGGGTTGCGGTAAGGCGTCCGCGCAATTTTTTCGTCTCTTAGCTAGCCCCAGCCTTGTACCTGCTCCAGGAGCAGTAACCTTAGTGCACGACTACGCTTCTCACGCGTTCAAACCCTTCCTGAAAATGACTGCTTTAGTGGTTTCCGATGACGCTGAGCAAGTTTCTAATTGAAACTATATGTCTATTTTCATTAATTAAAAAGTTAATTAACAAATTTTAACTAATTAGGCGACTGATCGTTACGATTAGCCTCCTATACTATGTCCCCCTGGCCGTAAAACTCACCTGCGCAGACCGCATTAAACTAGCTTTCATGCTTTTTTTTATTATTTTATTAAGCTTAAAAAAACACCCTATATATATATATACAGTAGTGAACAAAAAGATATGATATTTCGTTTATTTTACAGAAGTGTTGCTTGACGTCAAGTGAATAGCCAGTAATATTTTGTTTTGATATAATGGCACACCATAATGCAGCCTTTTTAGCCACCAGGGGTTGGTTGTTATATCTGCATCAGAGTTCGAAGAAACATTACCCACGTAATATTGAAATATCATATCTTTTTGTTCACTACTGTATATATACTTAGGTGCTACCCAAAGAGCGAGTCATCAAAACCCATGGTGACAAGCTAAGTATGCAGAATATATAGCTGCTCTGAGAGCACGTGGAGCGAAATCTCGCGCTGCATGACCCAGGATCCTAGGCTCAATCCCCACCCCTGCCCGTTTCGATCTGGATGAGCATCATACCGGCATGCGGTCGTGTATCGATACTGCGTGGTGCACGTTGAAGACCCCAGGCTGGCCGTTGTACTGCACTGAATAAATGGTTCATCTACAGCGTGTAACGATATCGCCATGTTCTGGCTGTCCAAACTCCTGCTGTATAAACAACTAAACAACTTATTTGTTTGTTTGCTTGGCTCCCTTTTTATAGCGCGATCGACACGCGCCTCCTCTGTTGTAGAGGGAGTGCTCCAGGGGCTCTGCGCGTGGAAAAAACACTAAAGTAAAAGTACATCCATTGTAGTAAACCAAATAAAGGGCTCGTTCCATTCAACATGCATGGACGCCGACGTCTAGTCAACGTCTGTCTAGTCGTGGTTGCTTGTGCTATGACAACTGGAGATGAAGAGTTTGAAGAGTTTCGCGAGAGTATCAAGAGAGTGAACTAAAGCTTGGATGTCGAAGAAAGAACTTCGGGTACAACATCTGCTCTATGAAGAACTCTTGGAAACCGACACTGAAGAGTGCACATAAATGAAAAAAATAAATAAAGTGAAATACAGTTAGACGTTGACGAACAAGTAACAAAAAATTACGTAATATTACCCTCTCTTTCTCTTTCTCTCTCTCTTTTGGCGCACAATATTACGTTTATTTGATCATTAAGACCATTATCTCTGGCATTCACATTCTTTAAGCGCAGTTCCTGCATTACTCATTATATTACCGAGACAGGCCTGAATGAAACAAACTAAATTGCCTCTTTTTTAATATTTTTTAATAGCGTGTTGACGCTTAGCTTACGTTATCGCTAAAATTTAGCGTTAACGTGAGTGTCGGCTACGCAAAAAAAAATTTTTAATAGCATTCTCCTCCCGAACCCAAAACATACGCAAATCATGCTTGCAACGCCACCAAGATGCAGTAACAGTTTTTATTGCGCGGCCGCAATGCCGAAAAAAAGAAAAAGAGAAATAAAATGTTTTGTTTTGTTTTCAATAACATTTTCGATTGGTTTAAATATAAGAATATGGCTCCCGTCTTCTGCAGCAAGAGCGGTACGTTTTAACTGACCTTCGCCGATAAGCCTTTGTTTGGAATCCAAAACACACGCATTCCCCGCTTGCAACGCCAACAAGATGCAGTCGCGGCTTTTATTGAGCGTACAAAAATGCTGTAACTCGTGAAAAAAAGTTTTTTTTTTAATGTATAACAGCTAGATATTTTTAAATATGAAAACGCGATGCGACCTCGCCCCTCGCCTCGGCCAGGGCGGTGCTGACCGTCGTCGAAAGCCTTTGCTCGTCGCAAGTTGCTGGCGATCCTTCCTCACCTTGGTGGGTCTTCAAAACAGTTTGTGACATGCACCTTCCGAAGTAGTGCATCGTCGTCGTGTATCAAAAATGGCAGTCGCGATACGGTAGGCTAGAACCCGGAGTATGGCGATCGCGCGATCGTCACACTCCCCGTGGATCGACATGGCGGGCACGGGGGTCGCACGGAGAAGACGGCAAAATGAATAGCGGACTCTATATAGAATATTCGTAGTCACGGCTATTACATCCTCGGTGATCGTAACGACTATTGCAAGTTCATTTTTTATTTTGAGGCCGTCAAGAACCCAGCACTAGATAACTAGACAATGAACGGCTCCCTGAAAAGACAAAGACCCAGGTACACCTGAATCCGTTTACCACCGAGCGCCTGCTGAGTGCGAGCTCTCCTCTCCCCCTCCCCCCCCCCCCCCCCCTTGCACTTCCCCAAAACAAGAAATGAACCGCGTTTTAAATCGAAAGACAGGTTGCAGTTTGATAGTATTGTGCTTCTTCTACCTTACGTAGAGTTGGACTGCTTTTGACACGGGTAGTTTGAAAGTAGTTCGAGTTTCGATTATTGCTCTGGACTAAAGTTTGTCCCCCCCCTCTTGCCGCTCTTGGAAGTTGCGTGGTTTGGTTTGCGGCTCTTAGGCCGGGTCAGCCTGGCCACCCCTGGTCTATACCCTTCTTGGCAACACCACAAGTGAGCAAGCTCAGTGAAATGCTAGCTCTATTTAACACCTGCTTTGGTCTTCTTCAGAAAACGCCGACATTTCAGCACTACGGCTCTGTTACCCAAAAGGTGTCAACCAATTTTACACTTTAGTGATGTCTGTGACATGGGAGAGATTGTTTTCTCGAATACTTCCCAGTTGAATGCAACCCTTGTGAGCGAGACAAACGGTCACAGTGATAGATCCAGCGACCTCAGACCTGGGCGTTCCTGGTTTCAGTAAAAGATTGCAAAAAAAAAAAAAAAAGGCTTCTGACGAGATAACGAGGTTGCTCGACATCGGAGTCGTTGCGATTAGACAGCGCGCTTCTTTGTATACGCGGGGGCTCATTGTGATCGCACGCGGTGCCCGAAGCGTGAGTGGTTACCTCATTATTTCCCTTAATTGCTGTAGATTCTTTAGGACAGCGTCACCACTTCCTGGTGCGGCCCGCCGCGTGAACGAACGGCCTGCGTTAATAACAATGTGGAGCACCTTATTGTTCGAGGTCGAGGATTCTGTTTTGCACGTTGAGACGATCCACACCGTGGCGCGCGGTATACTTTCGGAGACTGTTAGTTAACCTCGTCTCCTTCATTCGAGGTCCGGCGAAAATGGTCCGTTTAAGCACGACGAGCAGCCACAGACAAGGAGACCGCCCCTTTATTCCTCCTTTCCGTGCGAGAAAAAGGACCTTCCACCCTCCCTTCCGCATGGAGTAGCTGAGAGAGACATATGACAGGGTGTCTCCAATTGTGGAGCAGTGCACTGAGGTGGAAATGTTTTAGAAGAGGGTTTTTGCGTTCACTCAATAGTCAGGGCTACTTGATACAACTTATTAGAAAACAAAATGTCTGGCCTTGGGTTAACCGAGTCGCTTAGAGGAAAGAGGCTTTAAAGTTGGAGAGTGACGTCCTTCGCACTAAAAACTATTTACACCTGTAAGGGTGTAAAGGAAGCTTTTCACAGGGCTAACATTCCAACAGTGTTTCCCCAACACCCTTAGAATGTTGGTGAACACCTTAAACATAGGATGCTGGCGATCTTAGCAGCTTCCTAGCAATATTTTTACGAGCAACAAGTTTAGAAGCAACAATCACCCCGCGCAGTTCTCACGTGCACGGATACAGCCAATAGAAACTCAGTAAATCTCGCACGATAAAGGAATCTCGACCTTGATGACTGCTCCGCCGTCCCATATACGAGTACTCGGCAATTCAAAAACACTCCCTCGCAGGTGACCGTATCAGTAATTACGAAAGTTACAAGTATGTTGCATTGCTCCCATCAATATTTCAAGTGCATAATATATCTAAGTTCGACGAATGTACTTACAATAGAACAGGCAATATTTATTCGACAATGTCGCCTAAACAATCTCCGCTAAAGCTGTTTAAAGAGGGTTCTGCATATGCGGCGAACAGCCTTCAGAGAAGGTGTTCGCTTCACCTGACCTGTTGCGCCCTTTTCCACACCCTTTTTACACCCGTCAAACCTGAGTGGTGGTCAGTGTAACAGCACCATATTTCACAATTAAAAAAGGTGAAGTACTAAAAATAAAAGTGCTAAATGGGTGTAACAATAGGTCTAAGTCTCGGGAACAGCCTCAAGATTGTTACATTTCTTAAGGATCTGTTATACGCCGACGTTGAGCACAGCAAACGCAGCGTAGCGCAGAACGTGCGCCTTTCATTGGTCGGAGAGAAGGAACTCGATATCTGCGACCAGTCAGTACCTGTGTGCGCTGCGCTACGCCGCGCTTGCTACGCTCAACGTAGGAGTATAACAGAGCCTTTAGTGTGGTCTTGGCGCCCAGCAACACTTCAACATCCATTTTCACCATTCTCTAAAAATAAAAATAAAAAATAATAGAAAAAAAAACACGTTATCGAGGAACGCTTAACCAGTAAAACAAAATCTAAAAACCAAAAACGAAAAAAACAATCACACGAAACCGATTGTATTAGCCGTAACTGAACCGTTATTGTTTTCGATTTGAGCCCCTGATTCTATTTACGCGTTTTTGAGGTCGAACGATTTCAGCACTAATAGCATATGCTCATCTGGACGCTCCAGACTGCAATTTCATAGCCAAACACGTAATCAGTCATGGTTGCATGATTATCAGCTTTGACTGTCGAGATGCCGAACACGTTTAATTAATCCCCCAAACTATACGCTCCGTAAAAAAAAAAAAAAAAAAAAATTCCTTGCGCAGCATTTTGTCCGTTCCGCCCATCTTCCAAGGACAAACTCTGGGCAGAAGACAAGAAGAACTCGGCCAGACGATAGCCGGGCAACTCCTCCTCGGTTCCAGCCACAAAACCACAAAGGAACATCCACATTCCGCGATGGCCCGGCACGCGTCAGGCATGCAGAAGAACATGCGCAAGAAGAAGAAGGCTTCCGAGGAGCCACCGTCATCTCGTACGCGTGTAGTGCATTCGTCGTTTCCACCCGCCGGAATGCCTTGATGCTTCTCTTTCCAACAGGCGTGAGTATGCGCAACGGGTTGGGCGGACCAGCAGCCAGCTCTTCCGATTGCGGCGTGACATCGACCGTACAACGAGCGTAGGAGAACCCCCACAAGGAGCCCGCGAGTCTCCCACTTATTACGTCGCTTTGTTTCTTGTCGTTGTTGCAAAGGCCGTTCGGTTCATCCTTGGCGCAGTGGAGGAGAGCTTGCAGCGATTCCGCCCTTGCACAGAGCTCATTGGACCGCTCACTGCTGGAAAGATGGCAGCGCTATATAAGTCCAGGACGAGATCGACCATGGCCACAGTCTCCAAGCTGCCGTGGTTCAGGACGAGTATCTGCGACAAATCAAGCTGATAGAGATGTGGAAGGTGAGTGGATCGACCTGGCTCGGGTTGGCTTCTCCGGATGGATACACACCGTGGGACGCAGGAGGAGTTATTTACTCTGCAAGCTTGTGGATATTTCAGGTCACTGTAAATTATCCTAAACAGGGCCGAATGGAGACATATAAGATCTACACAGAGTCACATTGGCTTCACGGTAAAACATCTGTTATCAGCCTGAGTGTTAAAAGCTTTCACAACGCCCCGTGATTTCTAAGTTATTCGAATTAAAATAACAATATATTTTTTATTACGAGGAGGGGATATTTATACATTTTCTTAAAGTTACAAATAAAGGCTAATTTTGCACGAGCATGAACAAGTTTCAGTTGCAATGCTTAAAATAAAAGGGAAAATGTAAAATGCGAATATAAAGGGGAACTTTTTGTTCCACTATAGTTTAGTATAGGTATACTCGCACTATATTCTTACTGACTCCGATATCAGTGCACTATCTTCGTGTTTATCAACTATGCGACGTAATCGGGTAGTTGCATGGAGAAAATTATCGCCGCTCATTGACTCTTTTGTTTCAAAAACGGTCTCCGAGTATAGCACTACGAACCTCAATTTTGTTATTGCTTTTCTTTTTTGTACGCCTCGCTGTACGAATAATTGGTATGACCGCCAGTCGCATCCTGGTCATTTATGAACGAGCAAAACTCTATATTCTAGCCTCACATTAATTCGACCGATAGGAAGTGCTTCGGATGGTATAATTATTAGCGCATGATATGCGTAATTTTAGTTTCGAAATTGGAGTGGCTCTCGGTCATACAGGTTTATGGGCACAGTCACGGACAACTTAAGAAACGTAGTAAGTGACGAGTCCGGAACACCTTCTAATCCATCCGTAGCAAATAATCAATAAATCAATCAGTCACTCTATATGTCCATTTATTTATCTCCGTCTGGTGTGGCATTGCCGATAAGAACGCCAAAAAAACGAATCACAAAGCAAAAAGCGTGAACATAAGTCACACCTTGCGTTTCTTAAGACGTCAATGACGTGTTCCAGCACATTTGTAGCATAATAATAGACCCATTCCCAAGTTCTGAAATTACGCTTAGATTATGCGCAGCCGCCATTAGTTGGTTTCGTCGCTTCAAGCGTGAAGCCTGTGATTGGTTCCGAGTTCGCCCTGAGCACTCGCGACGGCACTCGTGTCCAATGCGTTTCGATTCAAATGTACTCCGAATGCTGACGAAACGTTCGTGTCCAATGCGTGTTCACAGTGCGTGACCAACTAATGGCGACCACTCCTAATCTATACAACATTTCGAAATTTCGAAAAGGGTCTATATTACTTTCTTCAAACGATAACCCACCGATAAAAATGAGAAGAAAAAAAAATGTATCGCAAACTGCCCTGCCATTGTGTTGCTAGGTGAAACGGATCCAGACATCTCTCCTCGAGCTGTGCCTCCGGGACTCTCCTTTCCACCCCATTGACTCCACCCGCTCCTCTCTACCTCATTGACTGTATTTATGTTTAGGATACGTGACATCAATTTTTCCGCTAAATCTAGCGGGGAAATGGAATTTCCGCATACGTCACGTGACAGCGTGTCACGTGACGTAATTTTTTGCTATTTTTAGCGGGGAAAATGAGTTCGTGTATAGGCCCCGGGACATAAAACCTTGTGACGACAATTTTCCCGCTAACTTTAGTGGGAAATTGGCGGTTACGCTTTTTGAGGTTTCACTTCACCTGAAAACCCAAACTATAAAAGTTCCACGTTTAAAAAAAAAAAAAAAAAAAACTTTTCAAATTTGTTTTTTTTTTTCTTTTTTTTTCTTTTTTTTTTTTTTTTTTTGCGCGCGAAGCACTAAATCGTAGACGTTGCGCTTATGCGCATGGCTCATTGGATACTGCATTTGTAAGGCATTTTAGAGTTTTATTTTATAAATACAGTGCAAAGGTAGAATGCACTCGATGGCGATATCAACTGTTATAACAAGTGATTTCCCCGTGGTGGGCAGTGGATATAATTATGACAGTAGTCGTCACTCGCTTGCGAAAGGTGACAAGCTCTAGTAAGTTCTCCAGTAATGATGCAATGATCACGGGCAATCAGGTAGTCAGCGACTGCTGCAGCTAGACGCCAGCAAACATTCATGTGACTTCACTCAGACACCTTACTAAGTTGCAATATTGTACTCGGACTCACACTCCTGAAGTTACCGAGCAATCAATCAATAACTCACATCTGCGCATAAAAAAAGAGAGAGAAAAGATTTGAAAATGAAAACAAACAAAAAAAGTGAAAGAATTATAGGATGCCATTCTAACTGAGTTTCCCGCCATCTTTCACTCCTCAAGGTAACGGTCATCTGCGTGTGCCTGGCTCAGTGGGCAAGCTGCCAGTTCCCGTTCGCACAACAACGCTTCGTGAGTCACCATGCTTCCTTCCTGTATTATCAATTTTACCCGACATCATTACAAATATAAGTATGGCGTTCGGTCAAATCCTCCCCTACCCCAATCGATGTAGGATGCATACATTACATGCGCACACTGTTGACTTTCTCAGTTCACGTAGGCATTTTTGCATAAAAAGAACCCCGTTGCGTAACACATCTTGACCAAAATTTCAGACATCGAGCTGTACCAACTTCTACGGCTCACATAAATATTACGCACAAACCTTTGATGTGCCCCGTTTCATCGAAGGCATTTAAACACGGCATTTTTTAATTAGGAAAAATAAAAAGACTTCAAATGAAGTCTGTTGCGTAATTTGAGGGGCTTAACAGCGAAGTCGGCGTTCCAGGAAATGAAGCCACGCGTCACACGCGCTGTGGATGGGCAATTAAGCAAGCGCGACCGCTACCGCACACAGATGATCTAGAAAGTCACGTCGGAAGAACACACGATGTCCATCGCTCCCGCCTCGCTTCCTGCTGCGCCTATGGACAAGAGAACTCGTCACGCGTGGCCTGGATGGACGCCTGCTCAAATATGAGGACCCAGTGCATGACGCCGTGACGTCACGAGCCTGGCAATACGTGTAACAGGATTGGCCCAGAGGCACGATGGTCTCGCGTTTCCTTGTAGAACGCCACGCCCTGCTGGTGCTCGCACGTGACGTCATATGATGACGTCATTGCCGACAAAACACAAATTCGATTGTTCGCAATATATAATGCAGAAGGTATACGTGGGCACAGCAGCCAAGCAGCAAGGCCACAGCGATGGCCGCTGATGCAATGTCAGTGCAAGCGGTTTTGGTTTCGCCTGATGACTTCAAGAGGTAAGTGTGTACCAGCTAGGATTGAATAGAGGGCATGATGATGCAGTATTCATACATGGTTCTGGGACAAACCTGGTGTCGTAACGTACTGACCTTTAGTGTGTCTTTTGGATAGCGCTCCAAGCGGCCTGCTCTTTTGTTGAGATGAAACCGCGCAACAATACCGTTTAGTAATATCGAAATGCAGCAGGGGAGTGGTGTTAGAGGCTTGACGCTGCTCCCCGCAGCCAAGTATAAATGTACACACTGGGAGGCACGGTCAAAATGTGCAGTCTGGGGCTGATAATGTGTCGGCTAGATGGCCCCCGTTGAACAGCTGTCCGGAAGTCGCTGATCTTAGCACGAGTTCGGCTTGATTGCAGGAATTTCTCCAGTATCGTTAATCTTAGTAGTTTGGAGGGTGTGTGTACTTTGTGGAGGAAACTCGGGGGGTACTAAACTCAACCTGGGGGTCTGTTAGAGGTGGGGGGAGGGAGGCCTATAAATCACTGATCGCTTGGAGACGTGGACAGCTGATGCCCCGAACGACCTAGCCTCAGCGTCAGCGTGTCTGACATGCATGACTGCCCACAGGCACCCCAGACCCGGTTCCAGCCACAGCCCGTGTATACTCCCGGAGTGCAGAGCTACGCCCCTCAACCGTACAGCTTCGCGTACGACGCCATCGGTGCCGACGGCTCGAGCAGCCGCAGCGAGTCTGGTGACGCGAGCGGCCGAGTGACGGGTTACTACACGATCACCACGAGTGAAGGCTCCCGTCGCCGCGTCAGTTACGTGGCCGACGAGAACGGCTTCCGCGCCACCGTGGACACCAACGAGCACGGCACCGCGGACGAGTCGCCAGCGGACGTCGTGTTCCGATCCACGGCACCCAAGGTCCACGGCGGAGTCACCTCGCGGGCATCGAGCGCCCAGCCCACCTTCTCAGCTCCGCAACAGCAAGTCTTCGTGCAGCAACGGTATCCGTTCTCGAAGGCTTAGCTCCCTGGTGAGGATCGGGACTCTGGCTGTGGCCGAAGCAGCACACGCGCGTCTGTGCTGCTAAGCCTACCGCGATGGCGGCGCTTGTATAACCATCCGGTGTTTGAGATAAGAATAAAACGAGTGGGTGGAACGGAAGGTCGTCCTATACGATGAATTGTGTATGGGCGACGGCGCGCTTCTGGGTGAGTAGGAGGGCATTAGCAAAGGCGAGTTACGCATGGTGGGCTCTGCCGTCGCCCACGCGCGTATGCTGATTTGCACCTTGTTGTGACTGCGGCAAACCGGTAGTGTCTGCCGACTCGGAGACTACGCCGAGACAGACAGGTTCGTTCTGTCGTTTTAAATGTGCATTACGTAATTCCGCAGGGCTGCTGGTTATTCCTAATTGCTTGCACTCCTTTACGGCGTAAACAAACACGTCCAGCAAGAAAAAAAAAATATAAAACACTAAAACTGTTTTGAAGTCTTCCGAATGATGTGTGATGCTGGTAGGCGACAAAACATCATAATTAAGAATGCTTGATTGTATACTCTCTTTGGCGCAATCGACTTTTAGCCTGTGTGGCATGTCTACAGAGGGTATATGTTGTAGAATAAGATCATGTATAAAATACAAATTGTGTGTATGTGTGTGTGTTTGCAGGAAAGGGGGGGGGAGAGATACCTCCGATATGAAGAGCAGTGACGTAGCCAGGAGAGGGCTTATGGTACTTCAGCTCCCCCCCCCCCCCCCCTCGCGCCCCAAGTCATGGACATCCCAGTCACCTTAGCCCCTTCCCTAAAAATCATTCTTGGCGCCTCAGAAGAAGAGCTATGATAATTGTGTTCTTTGTATGCTCAGGCAACGGGAAGCGGTCTGCATGGTGTCCCCGCTGTAGATGAGAAATTTAGCTAACGCAGTACCACCGCTATCCTGGCGTCTTCAACGTGCATCACGCAGGAGTAATGCACGGCGACTGTGGTACCAAATACTTGACAAAGGGAGGCCACTCCGCTCATTTGCATGCAGAGCAATGGCAGCACCGCTTCCCTTGTGGCTGGGCTGCTCCAGCCGCTTCGGCGACCAACTTCTCTCCGCTCTTAGTGACTGCTTACTCTCTCAATACCTCTCTCCCGATCACGTGGGCGCCCGCCCAGCAATAGGATTTGAGCAAGGAACGCGAACGCACGGTACAACCGCGATGCGATGCACCAATGCCGACGTAAACGGAAAGAACACGACACGAGTGTAACCAGGTGATGACTCGATCATTTTAATGACCGTTGGATGCCCTGGCGACTGTCACATAACCAAATACCCAAGTGTTTACCTGCCTGCACCGATGTAAAGCGTGATTATGGCTAATCAAACTCATCGACACCCTTACAATAATTAACGTCTCCGGCAGGTTCAAAACTCCTTGATGAAATTTTGAAAACCCGCTTTAGTATATGTACCTGGTAATTCAATAAAAGGTTATTTTAAAGTTTCTTTTACATTAAAAAAAAAAAAAAAAAAGCTGGTCCGAAATTTTTGCTGCTGATTTTTGAATAAATGCGTTAGGATTTCGCAAAGCGGTTATATATAACGAAGCTTGGTGAATGCAGCCTCTCAGCACTTTTCCGCAGGGTGATAATTCCCGAAACCCCTCTTCTCCATGGTGGAAGCAGATCAGGTCACTGGCGTGATCATGAAGGTCGTGCGCGCGATGCGCGGAAAACGACAAAGCCTTTTCGTTGTTGTTCATACATGTTATGCACACAGGGGCGACGACACCGTGCGCTTACTGCCCGGTGACATGGTAACTGCGCGTCAAGAACGGCATGGAAGGCTGAAGAACGGAACCGCAGCCGATGTCCGTCCACAGGTCTCCAAAGCCGGCGGTCATTTTGCAGTGCAACATGGCAATGAGAAGTCAAGCTCTAGATAGAGGAGCAGCCGAAGAAATATACGAGTATGTTTAATTTAGTTTTGTCATCTTGTCGGTTTTGATCGCATATTGCTCCATCCTAGTACAAAAGTAGCAATTACTGTCGTTTTGTTTGTGATATTGCTGAAACAGTACCTCCCACACGCGAGCAGTGGCGTCACTATCTCTGCAATGCAAAAAAGAGGGTCACGGGTCTATAGCCTAGGCGACACAAATATCGATAAGCCATTGGTTATGGTAGTACGATATTGACCAGCCTTTACCAAGACATCACCATATTGGAAAACCCTTGGCTTTGACAGATTAATATTAACCAGTTTAAGCCAGCGTATATTCAATATTGGAAAATCATTGGCTCTGACAGTCCAACATTGTACAGGTTACGCCGGCGTATATCCAATATAGGCAAGCTATTGGCTTAGACAGTCCAATATTGGACAGGTTAGGCCAACGTATCACCAATATTGGAAAACCATTGGCTTTGATAGTCCAATATTGTCCACTATGTTTCCAATATTGGGAAACATGCGGCTCAGTTGGGCCATTGTTGGGCCACTTTTGCCACATCAAATCCAATGTTGGCCCAATGATGTGTGCTGCCTGGGTAGGGTCAGCGGCACCCAAGACAGTGAACTGCCGCGATCCCCCACGCCCCTCTGCTCTTTCGTGGCCCGCCGCGACCCCCCGACCCCCCCCCCCCCCCCCCCCCCCTTTTCTCTGCCCAGCTGCACCCGGAACAGTTTCGAGTGTCGAAGCTGAATGGGACGAAGGCAGTGAAAGAATTGAAGACAGAGACAGAAAAACACAATAAAAAGGACTGTTAAAAAAAAAACACGATGCTTGTTTGTTGCTGGTTTGGCTATCACCCTATCAACAAAAAGAAAAAGAAAAGACCACCCTTGATTTGATTTTTTTCAGGGGGGATGGGGGTGCTCTGTTCCTCCCGGGAAATTTCGGAAAAGAGGGGGGGGGGGGGGGGGTTGAGCTTTCCCGTAGTCGGAGCCTATGAACGGCGTGAAGTTACACCTATCAACCGAGGTGCAGTGGTGCAGCGGGAAACAGCGGGGCAAGGGCGTACTTGGGCAGCCGGCAGGGCGCCGCAAGGCGGTGTGTACGGGTGGCTCACGGTATAGAGCAACTATGTGTGCCCCGCTTGCGGAGCAGAGTATCGCAATACTGCTTCCACGGCGGCCACGTTGGATCCAAGGCAGCACTGCGGGAAGCGATATCGCTTCTGCAGGAGACCGGAGGCGCGGATGGCGTGGCTGCGAGGCGGCGTGCAGCGGCGTGCGTAGCAGAAACGCCGTCGTTCCGTCATTTGTCCCTCTGGTTTTCTCCATGCCCTCAGTAGACAGTAGTATCTGACGAAAACATCGTTCCTTTGCAAGCCGTAGCTGCGCGTTGTTGTCTGGTTCGAAGAGCCCGGATGTGACGGTCGCGTGTCACTCCGCGAGCGCCGTAGGCAACGCAATCGTCCTCTGTGTCGTCTATTTCTCAGACTTCGGACACATGTTTTAAAACATCGCCAACGTTATAAAACAACGCGATTATAATATACCCAGTGGCTGCACATAATGTTCAATGGCCAAGGAACCTTCCAGTCCGTTCGATTTGAGTGTATGTATACACGTTTGCAAGTCCGGTCTCAGGTCGCCGCCATCTTCCTCAGTGGGGTGCGCTCTTGGGCGCGGCCATAATCCGATTACGACGCCTTCGCAAGGCTTCGTAATCAGATTATAACTCGTCCAAGCGCACCCCAGCCAAGCAAAATGGCAGCGCCCTGAAGCCGGACTTGCAAACGTGTATAGTTCGCAAACGCAAAGCAAGAAACATGTTTTGCCCGAAACTCGGCGCCTGCAAGGTCGCTTTCCCTCATTAAATTTGGATCCAGCTCGGCGCCCGTGATCACCTCTCCGCCAATGCGGAGTTGGCGGCGCAAAGAAAAGGAACGTGATACTCTGCACTGTTAGAAAAAAAAATAAAAAAGACCGTTTAAGGACCAGTGGCGTAGCCAGGAATTTAGGGGGGGGGGGGGGGGGGGGGGGGGTTGAGGTGGTTGGGATGTCCATGAGAGGGGGAGGTGGGTCAAAATACATATGTATATTATAAGGTCGGCTGTACGCCCCTGTACGGGACATATCCCTGCTAACCATGTTGCCACAACATGTTCCGTATTACTGAAAACGGAACATGTACCGTAACTCCTTAGCACAGAACACGTTCTGGCAACAAGGTGAGCCTGCATGTGTCCAGTGCACCGCTATGGTGGTACACATTAGTTTTTTGTTTTTTTTTCCCGCATATGTAACTAAATGAGAGAAAACACGAAAACCCTCCGACCAGTCGTTACGCCATGCGCAGATCTTTCGGCCGCCAAGCGCGTGTCGCTCGTGTGGACAGCTCGTGCGATTGTAAGCTCGCCAGAAATATTCCCTCTCACTAACACCACGTAACGTTTTTTTTTTGTTTTTTTTTTTTTTTTATGTAGCAAGAGTGCGCGTAACTTTTGATAGGCGCTGAAATTGAGCCAGAGCGGAGATTCCGAAAACTTTGTATATGACGTCCCGCTCCGGGAAAAAGAGACTTCAACGGTACTTAAAAAAAAGATATATATATATATATTTTCTGCAGCCTGCATCAAATTGAAAAATCATCTCGATATTCGTGATCCTTGAGGCCAAATAAAGACGATTAAAGTGCTTGTTTGTTTTTTCTTCAAATACAGGATCGCAGCGTAAGAGGAATGTTGAGACAAGCACCATTTCACTCGCGGCGTTTCGTTTTCTTTCTGTTTTGCTTTCAGAGCGTGTGAAAGAGCATCTCCAGGCACGAGCGTTCGGCATTTCGTTTCTAGGTTTTCCTACTCACAATAATCCGCGTGCCAGCTTCTTTAAAAAAATCCGAGCGTCCCTGAATTTAATGTATCTGTACACCCATTTAATACAAGTGATCATCAATTTAATTCAAGTGAATTCAAGCGCTAATTAATGTAATCCAAGTTATCGCCAATTTAGTCCCAACGCCATCCATTTTAATCGAAGCGCGCCGGTCAATTTAGAGACCTGAGATGCTTGAAAGTCACGAATGAATTTTAAACGTATATGGCGTGTTTCATGATTGCTTTTTCATATTCCAAAACCATGCCTTGGTGGTGGTCTGCTTGAACCGTGCCGCTATTTCATCATTGGGGGTTGACTGCTCCTTTGAAGGAACACTGACA